TATATATATATATATATATATATATATATATATATATATATATATATATATATATATATATATTACTTTTCAATAATGTTCTCATTCAATAGATGCTAATTTATATTAATGTAAATAAATGAATTCGCTATTTATTTCAAATAGAAGTATCTAAAAATAAAATACAGTAGCCTGTCAATACTTTTTGAAAACTACTACAACATTTTTGCGCTTGGGAAGATCAAAGGGCAAATAAGGGAATTCTCACGGGCACGCACACGCTTTCCAGCCGCGCGCACGCAGCTGTGAGAACATGACGTCGTCCTCGTACGTGCTTGAGCCTGCCCGAAAATGTTCTCCCGTGTTGCTGAATTTCGAAGGAGTGCAGGACTTTGCGGCGAAATAATACAGTTTTATCGGTGAGGAACGCCGAAGCTGACCGCATGTTTCGCAGCTGAAGCCCTCCGCGGCCCCATTTGCTGGTGAAGGTTGTGCTTTCGGGCCGCCCCGAGGGAAAGTTTGAGCGATCCTTTTTTCCTCCCGGAGTGATGTCGAATCCTGGGAATCGGAGAAACGGGTCCAGCATCAAAATCCGACTGACAGGTAAAGAAAAATGAGCCAAAAAACGCTTACAGTGCATATTCTAACTGAAGCTAAAGTGCCTGGTACACAAGCCTCTATTGTAATATGGCGATAGAATCAAACCAAACAAGTTTCTGTGGGGCTCTTGGTCTGTTCTTCACCCAAACATCCGGTTTTTGTGAGAGCAGCAGTTAAAGCCTAGCCTGTTAGCAAAAAATGCTAAAGAATTACCAGGAGGACCCTCTTTAAAGCTGTGTTTTATCGTGTTTTACAGCTGAGAACCGCTTCCAATTTATTGTTTACATATTACAGGAAGTGGCAACTGAATGTCTTTTAAGAAACTTTATTTACAGCTAGCCATCGCCTGTAAGTGTTAGCCCGCTGAGGTTAGCCGTTAGTAACACTGTAGTTACTGTTGACCGCTAAAGCTCGTTAGCTACAACCATTTTAACAGGGTTGACCACCAAAAGGATCCTTCGCTTTTAGCTAATGCGATAAATCAGAAGGCTTATAATGAAGCAAATGTTTCTCCGCATCCCTTTTGTAATCGATTTCTGTGCAGATAAGTCATGCTAGCCTAGATAATGCTATTGTGTATTGATTGGCTGCCGTGTCAGCTGCAGTTAGACTCATTGAACTTATCCCGACCCAGCGAAGTTGGACACATTTGCTACCCGGCCATCACTCAGTGCATCAAATTTATTTTTTATTTTCCTCGCAGGGGACGTAGGAGTGTGTTTATCCCACTTTCTAGATAGAGCAGGAACAATGGCTTTTACTGTAGCTTAATGTAACGCCAGCAGGCATGGAGGGGGCTCCATTCAAATGGAAATGACCTCTCTTTGCTGCCTGGCTGACTGTTTTCCTTCTGATGACTTAAAACGGGACATGCAGGCACCACAGCTTGCTTTTGAACAATCCTTGTTGTATTTGTTTTGAGTTCCAAGCCTGTGATGGTGAATGGTGTCAAAAAAACATTTAAAAAATGGGGTCAGCTTAGTGGAAATGCACCCCATACCTTCTTTTCTTTTTACATTTATTTGCTTTTTGACAAACTGGATTTCAACCAAGTTGGAAGGAAATATTTTGAACTGAAGAGTGAACACTCATCCTTCCACATTTCAGAAATTCACAAAGGTACTTGGCTAGTTAATCCCATCAGGTGCCTGATAGGCCAGGTGACAATTTCCTTGTTGTTAATTTGGAATCATTGTTTAGCATTGTCGCAATATTTGGCATTTCTACTTAACTGTGTTCCTCTCTTTGCAATCGTTGCTGCTTTTCATAGTCTGTTTTTAATCGCATCGCTTTCAATCTGCTTGTAAATGATGAACTTGCTTAACTCGCTCCATCTCCAGTTAGTTAAAGTTTACTCTTTCTATTACCTATTTGTTCCTATAGGTAATCTTTTTCTATATAAATGGTTGTAAAGCATAATCTATTTGCAGTTTTTTTTGTTATCATTTAAAATATAGTTTTCTAATTTATGGTGATAAATGTTCATATAAATATTGGATCACATTAATCAACTCTGTGGTATTTTTGGATGACTTTATATCACACACTTTAATTCTCTCAATTATTCCTGCTGCTAAAACTATATAATATACAAAATATATTAATTTGTTCTTCTTTTCATTTTTGACATATTTCAGTAAAATTATAAAAGATAAATTTTCTTTATTTTTTTTTTAATAACACTTGCTGTGTTCCTCTACCACCTCAGAACTTTCTCTGGCATCTCATTAAAAGGACTTTAAACTGTAGTTATGATATGTCGGAAGGTTTTTAGCAGCCGTAATGCCATAACTTTTAAAAGCATTGGGATACCCAGAAAAGAATCTGCACCTACTTGCAAGTAAGCCCAATGTGGCTGATTGGATTAAATTGTGCATTGAAGCGAAGGTTCATATCAAACATTTGATTTCAGGTGATCAGACTGTTGTTTTTTAACAATTGTTCAAAGAACTTTGGTAAGATCAGAATAGATACAAGCTGAAACTAGTGACTAAGATGAATAAAAACCCAAACAAGACAGAGGATCATGTTTGTGAAGCTATTTGCTCATTATTGCAACATGGATACTGAGGTTATTGGCCCCTTAGTGTTTCCCGCCCCCTCAGGTATGACTGGAATCCTAATTGGTTGAGGAATGTGCATTGAGCCAATAGGCCGGCTATGCTGCTGGGCAGCCCTGTTTAGTCTGACAGACTGAACGATTGTTTGGCCTACATCAGAGAAGCCTGTGTGTCTGACTCTGGGTCACACTTCAGAGCACCCTCAGAGTGTTTATGCAGACTCTTATTCAACCAAGCAAAATGTAGATGTTGTATTTGACAGGTTCTGTAAAATACCCTATCTGTATTGTGATTACGCTTTACGTTAGCAGTTTCACAAAGGACTTTTTTTCCCCCCAAGAGGTTGGTGTGAGAATATAAATATGAGCAGAGTTAACTCCTGGCTGCTCTCCAAACCTCTGCAGCCAGCTCTAAAATAAAGCACAGGCGGCCAGTGGAGGAAGCAGATATGTGGTTTTCCCTTTGTTCTGGTCAAAAACCTGCCTTAAGAAAATTGTCTTTACCATAAATATCTCAGCATGATTGACTGGTAACGAAAAACACATGCTGCACCGTTAGAATGCCAAGCAAATGATTCACTTCCTGAAGAAATGTCTGACCCAAAGTTTCTGCTGGTTCCTCTCTGTTCGACACAATAAAGGCACAAAAGAAGATGCAAGTGAAGCATTTCCAGGATATGTTACTCAACAACTCATGGGACCGTAGCCTGCCAATGGTTTAAGACAGAGGTCTGCAACCTGTGGCTCTTTAATATTACTTAAAAAGATGAACACTAAGCAATAGTTTTGAATAAAGTGCAATAAATACAGGCCTTAGAAGTTTCAGGTTTTAAAAAAAGTATTTCAACTGAATTTTCACAAAAGAATGACAAGAAAAGCGTCAAAAATATATTTTATGATCTATTTTTCTTGTCATTTTCTTGTTTTCTAATAATTTTTCTGACAAAGCAGAATAATACTTAAACCTAAAAATACTAATAAACTATTGTTTCTTTAAAGCGGCAACAGATTTCCTGTATTAGATATTTAAGAAAAATAATAACGTTTTTTGTTATTAAAAGGTCATATAATATTTGCAGCTCTAAATTACGTTTATTCACCTGAACTCAGAGTAAAATCTTTGGATCTTAAAGGTTAACCTCAGCGGGCTAAAGCTGAAACTACCAGTGTGTTTCCAATTCAGCCTATTTCTTATTTCTTATTCAAACGTCCTGATATAATTTATTACTAACATGATCAAGATCATCGCTGAGGATCCCCACCTGCGCCTAAATTCTCAAATAATTAATGAATATTAGTATTGTAACTACACATCTACTTATTGTTAAATACATTTAACAAGTGGTCTAAACCGAGCAGATCCAGTTGGCACAAACATGAATTGTTTTAAAGGTTCTAACAGGGCAACGAAGGCTTAAGGTCTGCTATTTTCAGTAAGGTGTTTAAAAACAACTCGGAGGAGAAACAAAGAGCTCTGAAAAGGTCCTGTTATTCAGGCTGCTGCTTTGACACCAAGTGACATTTTAGGAGACAACAGGAAGGCTGAGTGTTTCACAGAGAAGTTAATTAGTCTTTTTCTGCTCAGCTTTTAACTTATGTACCATGCTGGATATTCATTTGTCATCACGTTTTGTTTGTTTTGAACTGTTAAAACCCAGTTTTACACACTTTTTTTGCTACACACAATTTGATAGCAGATCTGAGTCACATCAACAACACATAATATATTGTAATTAGAGCTTTTATGCTTTCTTTAGGAAGATGCAAAATGTCCCCACATTGATATTAGCATCAGCGTTTTTTTTACCTGTATATTTATATCTTTATCAACACGTAATGTCGTTTGAGGGTTATCATAGACCTACAGACTGCTGTCTGGACAACCCCGTCTTAGAGATTAAATAAAGTCTGTGGTCAGTCATTAGGAAGGATGTGTATACTGGAGCTGTTTGTGTAATATATCCACAGAAAGGACACAAGGCATCTTTAAATTGAGTGTATATAAAGTTGATCTGTCTCACTGATCAACTAACTCTTATTTAGTCAGTTGGCATTTTCTTTAAAAAATGTATTGTTCTCTTATCAAGAGGATCATCCAATAACATAAAGGGTTGATTTGTATTTTTTAAATAAATGAAAGACAAGACGTGCAACATTATACTACAACACCTTATTAGTGGGCTGTACTAAATGCTGGAGGAATAAACAAAAATCGAATCAAAAATTGATTATTGGTTTGTATCCCTGATATCCTATTATGATCAACATCAAGAGTTTGCAGTGAAAACATCAACAGTTTAGCACTGTTGTTTTGTTGAGTACTTTAATTTACATTGGCGGCAAGCTAATTAGAAGATGTTAGTGCACATGTCCACCAATTTACATTATTATTATCATCATACGTGAGTTCTCTTTGGGCACTCCGGCTTCCTCCCACTGTCCAAAAACATGACTGTTAGGTTAATTGACTTCTCTAAATTCTCCTTAGGTGTGAAGTTTGTGTGAATGGTTGTTTGTCTCTGTGTTGCTCTACGAGGGACTGGCGACCTGTCCACAGCTGACCTGTAGACAGCTGGAGATAGGTACCAACACCCCTCACAATCCCACTTTGGATAAAGTGTGATGAAAAATGGATTATCATCACTGCAAAGGGAGTGTGCTTAGAAAATTACTAGGGCCGGCACTGTATATGTATTCTAACCGAACCATCACAGTACGGGGGTCAAGGTTCGGCACGCGCATTGCCACGCAGAATACACAACGGTACTGAAGTTTAATATTGCTCTGGACGCGGAACTCGTATTTTGCAGGAGTTTCCTTCAGGACCCATTTAACCACTACCACCTGCAAGCTCTGATTGGTCCGTAGACGTATAGACATGCCTGGATTGGTCTAGATAGTAAACACCACCTTAAAATACAAACTGCACTCTGTGGGAAGGTACCGCTGTTGGGTTGTGTTGTTGCGAGAGAGTGCTAACAATGGCGAGTGGCGAAGAATTAGAAGACCCACCATCATCATTCAAGTCAGTGGTGTGGGATAACTTCGGGTTCCCTGTGAGTTATAATAGCGATGGAGAGCGAGTGGTTGACAAAACAAAGATGGTCTGTCATCGTTGTACCTGAATGGCAACGCTTCAAATATGTTGAGGATAGCCTTTTGGTCATGTTTTTTTCTGCACTGTGCAGAAAACGTACAGAACCGTAGGGTCCACAACGAGGTACACACCGAACCGTGAGTTTTTTGTACCACTCCACCCCTATAAATGAAACATCAATGCTCAATAATCATATAATGATTTCAGCTTACAGTTTAATTCAAACGTCATATTCTAGGTAAAAGCTTTTCTCAGTGGAATGGTTGAAAACTGTATTCCTGGTGCTGATTTTGAAAAGGTTGCAGATCTGATATGTTTTATGTCCAAAATCAGTCCATTAATTCAGTGTGACTCTGTTTTAATCAGAAAGCTTAATACGTCATCAGAATGAAAGAAATGCGTCATACAAACGCGCTAATCCAAAGGTTCTGGTCTGAATCGGATCGAGAAATGTGTGGAAATCAAACACTGATTCGTTGCATTGATTCAAAGGGACTAAACCAGGTCTATCGGTGTGTTTTCTCCTTGTAGCACTCCGGATGGATGATTGTGTTAAAAACTATCAAGTTAGCTTAAAACCAATGATGCTTGGGGTGAATTGGCAGAGGGGGGGGCATCTGTTTCCCTGGTTGCACAGGAAGTTTCCTGAGACGCTGTGAAGGGGCCCGTAACACATTCAGTGCCACTGAGTAGGTGGTCAAGAAGCGTAAAGAAAGCGGGGTGTGAATGTGTGAAATCAGAGCTGTCTTCTGTTTCTGGCGAGGGAGCGGAAGGCTCGAGGTGCAGACATCCCAGCGGGATAGAGGGAGAAGGGTCTTCCTGTACGCTGTGAATAAAAGAGGAGTCAGAGATCAGACTCTCCGTTCTTTCCCTCTCTCTCTTTCCCTCATGGTGTCTGGCTAAGAGCGGAGATGTCTGGAATGTGTGAGTCAGATGGAGGAACATCGAAAGAGGCGGACGGGGAAAGAGGGAAGGATATCCTGTAAGCATTCTCCATGGGTTGATCACAGGAAGTAGAACCAGGCTGAGCCAGACACATGCTCGCCACCAGTCACCACATCCTAAACCACCGACCCCCTTACTCACCGCCTGGATGGCTGACTGGGAGAGAAAAAGGTTTTAAAATCAGGGTTTAGATGATGGTTTCAGTGATCAGTCATATTAATCAGGAACAGGCAGACTTCATTCACTGTCAGTCAGGGACAATGAGAAGTGGGACTACTCATTCTGCTGGTTTAGAGTCACCCGCTATCAGATTCCAAAATACAGATTGAGATTAAACAACACGGCTTAGAAATGTAATTTGCCTTTTTACCTACCAAATCCAATAAATTGATCTTTTTTTTTTTTCTTGCTGAATTTCATCAGGAAAAATTAATTAATGAAATCAAATTTATAAACACTGAGTGTATAACGTTTGTGTTTTAAAAGCTTCAAACTGTGTGTCTCGAGGTTCACTGTTTTATGGACTGGTCTCCATTACCCTCATTGCTTATCAGCTTCTTTATTTGGCCTTGACCTTTGACCTTTTTTTAAAGTGGCTAACTACACTATAACAGCAGCAAAAGGAAATAAAAAGGATAAACATCTAATCTATGAGGATAATTAATGAAAGTGTTTTTTAAAACGCAGAAAAAAAGCGAATAGCTCTATTAGGTGTGTTGACATAGTGTTTGCTGTTTATAGTGCAGCTGCAGCATCTTTCATTTAGAGGATGGAGTTCTTGTGATTGCAGTACCTCTTAATGGGAGAAAATAACATGGGGGACATTGGGTTTTATTGGAGCTCTGTCCCTCAGACCCAACAGTATTTTAAACAGGAGTTGTTTTTTTATTATAGTTTTCTTTTCACTTACTTGTTTATCAGAGCATTTTAAACAAGTAAAGCGTCTCCTGCTTCATGTAGCATTAGTTTCCAGGTAAATACAGCTCTGACACTTTCTCCAGAATCCCATTAAAGGACTTCAAACCTCTACATTTTTTTGAAAAACTCTCTTTCTGCCTGTAGCATTTTCTACTGATCGCTTTCTTCAATAATGTGACTCGGATTAAAAAAGTCTCCATCTGTGTTGTTAAAGAAGCTCGTTAATATTATCCTCTAACCATGTGAGCACAGGCAAACTGACTTTGAATACAACTGAAAACATTACTAACATCACCGCCAACAATAGAAGCAGGTTTGTAAACATGTATTCTGGTGGTTATAACTAGTGTTATTATAGTGAAAAACACCAGCCAGTAATTTTCTAACAGATTAGCAAACATCTAAAATCTCCAGTGGTTAGGGAGTGTTTTACACCAGGGGATCCCAAACAATTCAACCTGTGACTCCAAAAATAGCAGTGCCACAGACTGCTTACACACAAAAAATATATCTACCTGTTTCACTCTTTGTTTATTAATTAAATAAACAAAAAATATATCCATACATTTTTTCAATAATATTACATAATTATATATATATATATATATATATATATATATATATATATATATAATTTTTTGAAATGTATTCTTGATTATTAAATGGGAAAAATTAAAATATTCACTTGTGCATTATAATTTCATGGTATGTCTAATATTTAAATCATATATTAGATAAATACCTACAGGTATTTTTGAATAAAATATATTTGTATTTAGAATTTTTTAATTTATTTCTGATTAGTTTATTTCATTATTTATCGTGCATTTTATGTTATCAATGTATATCTAATATTACATTTTTATGAGATGTGTTAATAAATGTATTTTTAAAAATATTTAATTTAGAAATATTTTATTTAGTTTAAATTTTTGAATGTTACATAAAAAATATTTACTTGTTCATGTTATGATACAATCGTAGAGCTAATATTTAAATCTTGTTTTTAATAAATACATTTTTATACAGGATTTTATTATTTAATATAGATATTTTGTCAATTATCCAATGGGTTATTTCATAATTGAAAGCTGAATTTTATCATTTAATAGTATAGCTAATATTTTAATCATGTTTTAGACAGATTAATGTTACAAAGACGTATTTTATGGCTCATATTTATTTCAGGGGGCAGCCTCATATCAATACGATCATTTCTTTTCCTGCTTAACTTCAGCTCATCAGTATTCTCTGACGTTCCCTATTTTATCTTCCAACGACATTCTTCCTACTCAGTGTTTGTTATGCGCCAGAATTCATTAAAGCTGCCTACACACTAAGATTAGCCTCGTGTTTATGCTTTGCTCATTACTTTTTCATTCTTTTGCAGTCTTATGTGCCAAGAACCTAGCAAAGAAAGACTTCTTTCGTGAGTATAGTTGAATGTTTGTTTGTTTTTTTCATGGGTCTACAGTTATAATGCCTGTTCACATTCTGCGGTCATCCTAATATGCATTTAAATCCGTGTTCATGCAGGCCTACCGGATCCTTTTGCTAAGGTGGTGGTAGACGGATCAGGTCAATGCCACTCCACAGACACAGTAAAGAGCACACTGGACCCCAAGTGGAATCAGCACTATGACCTGTAAGTCTCATTCTAATGCCACTTGGCCTGTTTCCAAGTTGATGTTTAAAGCCATTTAATGAAATCTGATCAGTTCCTTTGTTTTGTTTCTTTATTAAGCTACATCGGAAAGACAGACTCAATCACCATCAGCATATGGAACCACAAGAAGATCCATAAACGTCAGGGGGCAGGCTTTCTGGGCTGCATACGACTGCTTTCTAATGCCATCAGCAGGCTAAAAGATACAGGATGTAATATAGATTTTATTTATAGATTCCACCTCAGTCCTTTGCTTCTATCTTATGCCTGATTTCTGCTTCTCTCCTCCAGACCAGCGTCTAGATCTATGCAAGCTGAACCCCTCTGACAGTGACGCAGTGAGGGGGCAGATTGTAGGTGAGGATGGGCCCACTGATACCTCGTGTCTGGATTCCCATTGCTGTTTTTCCTTTATCTTTGTGCACATTTTCAACTGAATGAATGAACAAAATGAAGAAAGAGAACAGGCATCACCAGATCCAGACTTTTTAGACTCAGCGGAATCCTCTGATCAGATTTGAGACATATACGATGCACCTCATTAGATTAGCAAATCCTTCAAACTTCCTGTACAACAGTGATGCTTTTAAAACAAAGAAACTCATACGGGCGATCTACCCAGAGGGATTTATTGATGAAAAGTTTTCCTTGTACAGCTTCTCTCTATGCTTGGTTGGGATTGTGCTTCAGTGCAGCCTTTGGCTCATCTGCTCTCTTGTCTCTCATCTTTCTCCTGTTGATATCCCATAGGTTCATTGGCCAGTTTAGACCAAACAAGTGCAGCAATACTGTGGTCTTTAAAGCAGGTGACAAAAAAAAAACCTAAACTAAACAAAAGGCAAACAAACCCGATTCGTAATATATTTTTCATGGAGTAAGACTGACTGTGATCTATCAGGGATTGTGTCGCCTATAGCCTGAAGTTCTGTTTTCTAGCTATTATTGAAGCTAACTTCAATGGGCAACAGTTTTCAATTGTACTTATGCAGGGTTCTCTTTTTTTCCTTCCACTCAACTTTCCATACAGATGCTTTAATATAGCACCAGTATCTTTAGCTGTGATCTTCTATGGCTTTGGGGTTGGGGACTGTTTGCTTTACAGCTGTGGGCTCCCCTGTCATATTATAGATGATAAAATAACATCTTTAAATTTCACATTTATTTGCACAAGATCACAAAATACTTAAAATCTCTTAATTTCTAAGCCATAATGATAAATATTTTGAGAAAAAGAAACTTTAAAAGTGTTGCTCTGTTTGTAGTAGATAAAAAAAAAGTTTATTTTAAATAAGAGGAATGGAATAGATCAACTTTTTAATGACACACTGATTTATGGTGATGCATCTATAAAGCATATGGTGAGGTTTCTATATTCCTGATTTCCAGTTGCTGGTTGACGTTTAGATTAACTTTTATGTTGTTACTTTGTAGCTTTGGTTTGAAAGGTATTAAATGATAAAATTGAACTGTCTGAATGGTTGTCTTGGTGAGGGGCTTTGTCAGCTGTCAAACGTCTCCACATTTCTTTTTTAGTGAGCTTACAGACGCGGGACCGGATTGGAAGCGGAGGTCAAGTAGTGGAATGCCGAGAACTGTTAGAAAATGAAGGGTGAGTGCTTCTCCATTCCTTTATATTCTATCCTCTGACTTTAAAGACATTTTTATATCAGACTTTATAGTTTTCCTTATACCTACTTTCTTTCTATTTTATGTCTCGGCTCACTTAGGCCTGTTTTTGAGGGATGTTTCAGCGAAGAGCCGCTGCCCTATTCCGACCCCACCGGCGCTGCTGGGGGCTGGCACTGCCGGCTGGAGTCACCAGTTCAGGAGGGCCGTCTGCAGAGCCAGCGAATCAGGGGGCAGGACTCCAGAGGTCATGGCCACACCCCTCAGAACCGACCTCATGGACATCAACCGCCTGATTTACCGGAGGGATATGGTCAGTTAGAGGCAACTATTTCACACATATGAATCTGAAAAACCAGTGAATGACATAATTTCTGTACTGTGACAGAGCAACGGACGACTGTGCAGGGCCAGGTGTACTTCCTTCACACACAGACAGGGGTCAGCACCTGGCACGACCCTCGGATACCACGGTAGGATCACCCTCTGCCGCCGCGCTCAGTTATTGTTCAAACACAAATATCAAATGTTGATTCTTTACTTTCCTGTTAGTCTACTCCAGCCAGGAAGTTGCATTTAATCTATCTAAAAATATGATGTAACATAAATATATTCTATTAGCAATAAAAAGTCATTAGCCTTGTTTTTCTATATCATTGCTTTAGGCTAGGACAGGGACTAATGCATTCATTTTGATTAATTAATCAAAAGCATTTTAATGCTTGAAAAATTGACACAACTAATTAATTTAAATGATTTTGATGGTCCTTTGTATTTTTCATATATTAAATTTAGCAGTGGGCTATGAGACCATATAAGAAGCCATAAAATCTCTCTCTGCCCTTCTTAGCTCACTCATCAGTCTCCGCCCCTCCCCTCATGGGTTAGCCAAGTTAGCAAACTCTCTAGCGGCCCATGGTCCAAGTCTCCTTGTGTCTACTATGAATATAATTGGGGGGGGAAAGAGACTGAGATTCTCAAATCGGATGCAGCGAAATGTGCAAAAAAAATTTTATATATTTAGAGCCACAAGTGGCACGAGCAGAACAGGTAGCATCAGCAGCTGAGGCGTTAGCAAACGCAGAGCAGACTGTCAGTTGATAAACAACAGAGGAAGAGAGGGGTGTCTAAATTCATCCTAGCAGATCAATAAGAACTGAAGTTGTTAGAATTAGCAACTTAAGATCTAAGAATATGTTGTTTTTCTTTGTCTCCAAGGAAAGTTTTCACCATTACAGCAGCATTGATTAGGGATTAAGTTCTGGCATAATAGAAAATATATTAGTTGGATTAAAAACAATAAATGTGTTGCTATGCTCATATAATTATTTATTCAATTATCTAGAATAAAAGTTTTTTATTGAAAAGGTGTTTATTTATTGCCTCTCAGGCCTTCAGACCCTCTTAGATCCTGGTTTAAACTGGACCAAACACAGCTGGTAAATCAAAGTAATCTACAGTCTGTCTTCATGTCCTCTGCCTCTGTCTGCGTAGGGATCTGGCCAGTGTGAGCTGCGAGGAGCTCGGCCCGCTGCCAGTGGGCTGGGAAGTCAGGAGCACTGTGTCCGGCCGCATCTACTTCGTGGACCACAACAACCGAACCACGCAGTTCACCGACCCACGCCTGCACAACATAATCAGGTGTGTATGTGGAAACACAAGCTGCCAGCTCGGTCCGCTGCAGGGTTGCAGACCTCTGCAGCACTGAGCGCTTTTAAGCCCGTTTTCTTCCTAAACTAATCCAGCACAGACGCAAAGCTAAAATCGGTCTAGACCTGAAGGTGACCCAGTAACACTCATCAGCTCTGCTAACAGCGCTGAAGGTGTGATTTACAGAAACGTTGGTGTTAGCTGCACGTGGAGAGAAAACCAATCCCTCCTCTGGCAGTCTGCCATCTCACTGATCTCTGCTTCTCTGCTCCTTCCAGCCACCAATCCCAAGTGAAGGAAACATCCCAGCCCCCACCCATGGATGTGGGGGTGGATGAGGGGGGAGGCGGAGGGGTGAGCAGCGGAGGAGAGGGAGAAGTGGCGGTGCGCTACGAGCGAGACCTGGTGCACAAGTTGAAGCTGCTCCGCCATGAGCTATCGCTGCAGCAGCCTCAGGCAGGACACTGTCGCATCGAGGTCTCCCGAGAGGAGATCTTTGAGGTAAGGAGGAACAAAACAGGGAGAGGCACTTGCATTTGGACACATGATTTAGTAACATACAGATAAAAAAAAAAATATTATTTCTCTTTTGCCATTTAAGCTCCTCTAAACAGTAAAAAAATCCCAGTTTAAAGAAATGCTTTTAACTTCATGGGCTAAAGCCTTAAAAAAGGAACATTCTAACTAAGAAGAATGTTATTAGTAATAATAATAATAATTTAACTTTATTAATCTCACACTGGAGAGATTTACCTCTGCATTTCACCCATCCCCTTAGGGAGCAGTGGGCTGCCATTGTGTGGCGCCCGGGATGCAGTGTGAGGTTAAGGGTCTTGCTCAGAGACCAAGAGTGCAGGCTGTGGTGATTGAATCAGGTTCTTGCAATCTTCTCAGAGCACAAGCGCACTGCTTTAACCACTAGGCCAACACTCCCACTATTATTAAAGTTATTCCCTGGGATGTAAACAATAAATAACTTTTTTCTGTTAAACAGAGGAGAAAACCTTTTCAACCCTAACCTACTCAGCTGCTTATTATTCCACCCAGCTGAGAGGTTATGATTGTGAACGGCACAGGAATAGCACGCCTCTGATTGGTGGAAAGACTCTGAACAGAATGTCTTTTGGGTTTCATCAGCAGCAAACAACAGCGGCTGCTTTAACACAGATTCCAGGATAAAATTAGACCATATGTCTCTAAACCACTTCAGTGGGTTTTATTTAAATTTGATCATAGAGCAACTCAAAGTTGATCATTTTTAGAAGTAGAAGAGCAATGATTGCTGGTTTTCAAAATTTGTTTTGCATATCACAATGTGAAAAGTGTGGCAGATAGCCAGGTCCAGCGTGTCCTTTTGTTTCCACGTGGAAAGAACTGGAGAAAATAAGCTAGAGGCATCAACAGCCAATCAAAACATTGACTCTAGTTTAAAGGCCAGGAATTTTGTTTGGTTTTTGATTAGGTAACACAGTAAAAACTGTAAACATGAAAACGTTGATGGCGTTTTAAACGTCGACGTCACCGCCAAATTCATTGTGGCAGAGAGGGATGCCCCAATTGCAGTTTTCCTGGCAAATCACTAATAAACAAGCTTGAAAAAGCCTGACATGTCAATCTGAATTTATGTTTTTATTGCTTTTTTAATAACTGACACTTTAAGTTGTTATGATCAGATACACCTTTAATTTTTAAATCATATCTTATTGAAAGCATTGACTAATACCAGTGAAACAATAAAAGCTTACTTTAACTCCCCTTAGTGCTCTCCAATTAAAAAAAGAATTAAGAGCATTGATGATGGCTGATTTTCTGACCTTTGCAGAGGCCAGATCGGTGGATGCGGTTTGTTTCACATCTAAGTATCGGCCAATTGACCGGCCGGTCGGATGAGATGTTTCTGTCCAGATTGCAGTAAAACGCTTTGAGGCTTGTGGTTGTTTTGTACCAACGTGTGAAAACTTGATGAAGTGTTCTACAGTGGGATGCTGTTGCAGTTATGGGTCCTGGTTTATTGATTTACTGAGGTTTGTTTGTGGGTTCACAGGAGTCGTATCGGCAGATAATGAAGATGAGGCCAAAGGACCTGAAGAAACGGCTGATGGTGAAGTTCAGAGGAGAGGAGGGCCTCGATTACGGAGGAGTGGCCAGGTGATTTTTATTATTCATTTATTTTACATTTTTATTTGGTCCTTTGTCCGTGTCACCCCTCAGATAGCGACTCTTTGTTTTTTAATCTCCATCATAGTCTCTAATTTTATTTTAAAAAGACAATCCTGATATTAGTTTGAGTAAAATTATGTCAAATAAAAACTTCCTCCTCTCTTTTGCTTGCTTTAGTACAGAGTAAAAGAGAATATTCTTTGTTTTACTTCCACAGTGTTGTTTATTTTAGCCAGAAATAAGGTCATGTTAATAATATGCCATTGGTGTTTTCATTGGCGGCGGCGACACGGTTCACCCTGACTGTTTCATTCTGACTAACGCTGTGTTCAGGGAGTGGCTGTACCTGCTGTGCCATGAAATGTTGAACCCCTACTACGGCCTCTTCCAGTACTCCACTGACAACATCTACACACTACAGATCAACCCTGACTCCTCCATCAACCCTGTGAGTTCCCGCCCCTGAGAGCGCACTCTAAGCTGAATCCTAAACTCTGGCTCATGTGTGGTCTCTGCTTCCCTCTTTTCAGGACCACCTGTCCTATTTCCACTTTGTGGGCCGTGTGATGGGCCTGGCTGTCTTCCACAGCCACTACATCAACGGCAGCTTCACGCTGCCCTTCTACAAGCAGCTGCTGGGCAAACCCATCCAGCTCAACGACCTGGAGACCACGGACCCAGAGTTGCACAAGAGCCTCGTCTGGATACTGTGAGAACTTTACTCTCTGCTGATCATCTCATTTTAAGCCACTGTGACTTTGAGTCACTTCCTTTATTTTATTCCACATTTTAAAGTTCAGTGTTTTTTTCTCTCTCTCGGTCGTTGTTTGTGTGCAGAGAGAACGACATCACCTCTGTTCTAGATCACACATTTTGTGTGGAGCACAATGCCTTCGGGAAGTTCTCCCAACATGAACTCAAACCAAACGGCAGAAATATTCCCGTCACAGAGGAGAACAAGAAGGAATATGTTAGGTGAGGACAGGTTTGGTTCACCTTCCGTAAACCTCCAGGGAAAGCAGCAGATTGGTGTTTAGGAGTTTCCATTGTAATAATTTTGCTGACTTTATTTCAGATTATATGTGAACTGGCGGTTCATGCGTGGGATTGAAGCCCAGTTTCTGGCGCTACAAAAAGGATTCAGTGAGCTGATCCCACAGCACCTCCTTAAACCGTTTGACCACAAGGAACTAGAGGTACGTGTCTCTGAACAGCAGACTTCCTGTGTTTGTTTTGTTTTCATTACCCTGCTCTGGTAAATCCTGTTCTCTCAACCTCTTCAGTTAATAATCGGTGGACTTGGAAAGATCGACCTGGCAGACTGGAAGGCCAACACCCGCCTGAAGCACTGCAGCGGTGAAAGCAACGTGGTGCGGTGGTTCTGGCAGGCCGTGGAGGCCTTCAGCGAAGAGAGGAGAGGGCGCCTCCTGCAGTTTGTCACAGGCTCCACTCGGGTGCCCCTACAAGGGTTCAAAGCGCTGCAGGGTGGGTCATGCACCAGCTCAGAGCCTCCACACAAAACAAACACATCTGTTACCACATCAGCACTTTGTCCTTTCTTCCCACTGAGACTGTTTTACATCATGCTGCACTTTTTATGCATAAACCCAAAGGGGCGACTTGAATCAGAACCCTGAAACACACCTGGAGTTTAGAAGCAGCGAAGAAGGGACATAAATCGGATCAGTTTTGTTGCATTACACATGTTGCAACTAGGAACACAACTGCAGGAAGTTGTTTACAGCAATATATATATATAGTGTATTACAAAAAGTAGTCACACCTCTTTCTATTTTGATGGGGCTTTATGTGATAGAAAGAAAAGTAGCACATTACTGTAGCATGAAAAACTTAGGGCCTCCCATCCATCCATCCATCCATCCATCCATCCATCCATCCATCC